AATGCACCTCAAAGCTTACAAATATTGTAACATGTCTGCCACTAATTGTCTAACCAAAGATGACTACAGAGTAACACACAATTTTAGTGTGATTTTATAGTGTTAATATAACCTTCCACACTAAATAATTAGAGGTTATGAATATGAAAGACTTGAGAGGTTATGAATATGAAAGGTTTGGGAGTTATGAATATTAATAATACTAATTCAAGAATAGAATTTATATAATTGAAGAGGTATAAATTAAGAAAATGATTTTGTAAGAAAAAAATAATTGAAAGAAATAAGAAAAAATGTCAAGAAAAAGAGAAAGAAAAAAAATATGAGTGGAGGCCATAGAGAGGTGTCACATCACCTTCTCTATGTTCCTCCTTTATATATAATATATATAGATTTGAAAGAAAAAAACACGTAAGAAAATTTGAGTCAGTTTTATCACATTAAAAATAGAGTAAATTTTAGGTTTAGCAAACATAAAAATCATATTTGTATGTTATAACTATAGTTTGTATAATTGCGCTCCTTATCAAACTTTATATTTTATATGGCTATTAATCTGTATATGTCGGTATACATATATATAAAAAATATATGTATTTGGGTCTATTTGTATATTTTAGTATACAAATGGGTCCTGCATTTGTATATTTTGGTATACAAAAGGGTCCTGCATTTGTATATTTCGGTCTATTTGTATATTTTGGTATACAAATGGGTCATGCATGTAACACCTCGCTATTTGAAAGAACTAGAAAAAATTAGAATTTGGAAGAAATCATTTTTGGAAATAATCAAATTTGGAAAGTTTGACAAAATTAAGCTAAGGATGAGTTTTTGGTCAACTTCAAACGACCATAACTCCTAGCTCAGGATAAGTTAGGTGTGCTACAAGATACGGTAGGAAAGATCTTTGAATTATGTTTCCAACGCTGCGAAGTTTGCTCAATTTAGTGTTCGTATGAGGAAGATATGCTCATTTGAAGTTGGGTTGTCTAGATAAGGAAAGTCAAAACGAGAATTTTTTAAGGGTATTATGGTCTTTTCACTACCCAGATAATTAAATTCGTTTTTGGTAATTAAGTTGGGATCTCAACTAATGGGATTCAGTTTACGCTATTAAAATTAAGTTAGGGTTTTGAGAGAAGAGAAAAGAAGAGGAGAAAAGAGAAGAAGAAGCAAGGAATCGCTAAGTTCTTAAAGAATTGCTTGTGGATTTCGCCAAGGGTTGATCCCTACGAGGTATGTGAGAACACATATTATTGAGTTAGTTCACCCACGCGCCAATCATGATTCAATTCAGCGTAATTGTGTTCTTAAAAGAAAAGATTATGAGTTCTTGATGAAATTTGTTTAAGTTTTGTTTGAATATTGATTATGAGTTTTGGAGGAGTTCTTGGGAGTAATTTGGTGAGATTTAAGGTTGTTTTGGAGTGGGTACTTGTATACTTTGGTTGTGTATTGGATTCTAAGCGTTTGAGAAAGAAACTAATTGAATTTAGAGGGTTTAGCATTGAAAAACGAGCAAAAAAATTCGTCAAAAACCTGAGGATGGGGCTGGGGTGCCGCGCCACTCAAAGCTCCCCAAATGAATCTCTGAAGTTTGGGCTCTGGGGAGCCGCGCCAGCAAGTGCGCCCCAACCCAGCTTCTGAAGTTTGCTCTCTGGCGCCCCGCGCCACTCAGAGCGCCAGGGACGCCAGGTCATCTACCCTTTCCCACTCTTTTTCGTTTGAGTTTCCTAGCAACGTACCTAAGTTTTCTAGTTGATTTCTACACTCTAAGGTACGTCTAAACATCATGAAATCATCCATAAACATGAGATCATGAGCCTTGAATCCATAATCCAATTCAAGGGAAGTTAAGAGTCAAGTCAAGAGAAGTTCATAGAGTATTCCAAAAGTTTTTTACAAATGGTTTAACTTTGTTTTAAGGCTTGAGTTTTGAGTTGAGTAAGGAGTAATAGTTAAGTTCATTTCAGAATAACAGGAACTAAGTATTCCCAAGAGTTTAAAATGTTTCACATTTAAACAAGAATGGAAACACCGATTTTCAAGAGAGCTTTTAAGCTAGTTTTTGAGTAATTACCTCAAACCACAAAAAGAGTGTTGTTTTAAAACATATGAGCTGAGTATATTTTCGGAGTTTAGTATTAAGCACTGATATGGGGACGAGTTCATAATAATTCAAGTCTTCATAAACCATGTAGCCATCATGGGTAGAAAGGGTCATACTTTTTAGATGACACCTTAATGCTTTTTAGCATAGACTAGTGGATACACTTAGTTAAGGCGTTCTATATCACGGCAAGTTATATGACAGTTCTGGCAGAGTGGGCAAGACGTTGTATCATCACATTAGCTCATAGTGATGGTTGTCGATGGGAAAAATCAATATACTTATAATGTCGAATCATGATCAACTAGGAGAGAAATAAAGCATTGGGTCGAACTCTTATTTGGTGTCAAGGTAATAGCTATGAATAGTCATCGACTTCCGGGAAAGAGTAGAAGGTTAGAGAAACTCCCACATAATTATATTACTTTATGATATGAGTAAATTGAGTTATTATTTCGGTTTAAATGTTTTATATCAACTACACCTTTACTGTTGTTTTATTTTGCATTTGAGTTGAGTAAAGCCAAGATAAATGTTCTTTTCAAATTCATTTCAAGCTTATGTCATGTTTAGTTTTCCCCTCGCATGCTCATACATTCAATGTACTGATGCCATTTGGCCTGCATCTTTTCATGATGCAGATACAGGTAATCAGAATGAACATCCAGCGCGACGTTGATCCAGTTGAGCACTCAGAGTCAGTTGGTGAGCCTCCTTGCTTTTCGGAGGACCCATTTTTACATTGTTTTCAGTATTTCAGTTGTTAGGATGATCGAGCGTTTTGTCCCGACATTCCTCATTGTTTTAGAGGCTTTCATAGACGGATAGTTATAGTTCTCTAGTATGTCCATTTTAGTTGTTTATGTTAAGACAGTAAGTTGTCATTTTGGCTAGTCGAATGTTCTTTTAAGATATTCCAAGTTATTGCATCAGTTATCTTTTGAGGTTGTTCCTTATTATTTAAGTCTTAGTGTTTTTGGATCAAATGTACTTTTAGAAAAGGCTCATTTATGCCATCGAACTTTTAGAAAATGTACATTTGATCCAAAAACACCAATAGAAAAGTGTTAAACCATGTTTGGTGTGTAAAAAATGGTTTTGCAAAACCGGAGTTAAAAAAATAGGCATGGATGAGCCTTTTCTTTAACAGCAATGGCATAAATGAGCCAAACTTTTTAACGGATGGCATAAATGAGCCTTTTCTAAAAGTTCGATGGCAAATAAAATAAACTATGGCTATAACATTTAATTTGAATTAATAATTTGTTATTTCAAACAATTTTCCTTAAAAAATATATGTGGACTGAGAGTAATCTTAGTTTAACATTAATTAAAACATATATGAATCAATAGTATAACAAAGGACAATATAACCCTTTTCCATATACTAATTATTTCATAATTAATTATTATGTTATTTAATTTTGATACTTGTTTGATTTATGAAATGTTGTGAATTAATAATTAAGATATGAAAATTGAGTTTGCCTTGACAATGATATGTGTTAGATGTCAAACACATCTAAGAGGTATTTTGAAACGTGACAAACACATCGCACTTGATATTCATGAATGAAAGAGAGAAAGGGAAGGGGAATAGAAAAAAATTAAGCATAATCATTTAATATGCTACGAAAAGTTATATTACTACTATCTAATTGGTCCCCAAAATTAACCATTATATTAATCTACTTCCTATTATTAATGTTCCAATATTTTACCCACTTTCTTAAAAAGAAAATTTTAATTATTCCCTACACAATCCAATATCATAGAATCATCATACAGAAAGTGCATAGACCCATCTTAAACTTTAAAAAAAATTCAAAAATTTTCAAGAAATTTTAAGTTTATGTACATTTATTCCTTCCCATACAACAAAACTTGAGTGTCTTATGTTAATATAAATATACATACAAAATGAGACACCTAAAATTTTAACAAAGTAAACATTAGTAGTAGTACTTTATCTTAATTATATATTTCAAACCAAACAAATGTCTAATACATGACATTGAAAAGCAAATTTAATTATTTTATTTTTTAGAGAAGTGTTTAGGTGACTTTGTTGGTCTGTTAAATCTGCATTGCTGGCAATAACCATAATCTTATTTTCTGACACATAGTTCTGGATCAACCTTCCCTGATGGGGGTTAATGTTTTGTGGGAGTCACAACTTGATTACCACATTCGCCATAGTGACTGGTTGGATGTATCAAGTCTCGTAGAGGCAATCCCATCATATGCATTAACCAGTGAAAGCCTCAGTGTCAGTTTGGATGGTGTACGCTCTTCATCTGTTGACGAATATCTTCAGAAACCTCATGACTGTGGCAGTTACATATATTCTCTTGAAGAGGTGGATGCTGTTTGCATGAATGTACCGAGTGTCCGTAACAATAACAACGTCTCAGTCACAAACAAATTAATTCAGATTGATCGATCTATATATGTTGAAGTAGCAAAATTAATTGATTATTTAGGTTGTGATGGAGTGGTAAGTACTCCTTCATCATTATTCAGAGATCTCGAGTTCCATTCCCAAGAATGTTAAGCATTGCATCCAAACCTAGTTGTGGTGGAGTGGTGATTAAGTACTCCTCCATCATTATTTAGAGATCTCGAGTTCTATCCCTAGGAATGAAATTGTTGTTGATAGAGTTTTTCCCGTACAACTCTAGATTAATCATAACTATGTAAGTTTCATACCACTTGAGTTATTATGACAAGTTATTTGATCCAATTACAACATCTTAACCTAAGCAAATTCTGAACACATCGGATTATGACTCTTTATTAATTCGACCTATTCAGATCCACCCAAGTTTAACTCGCCCCAGTCATTCACCACCTACTAATTATCTAAATCATAAAAAACTTAAAGTTTTCAAAAATAAATAAATAGAGAGTAGTAGATTAAGTTGAAAATTTTACCTATATCTTCAGCATATTTGTTCAAAACACACCATTTGTTCTCCAAATACTTAACATTTTTTGCACCAATAGGCATTGCCTCATGTCCTTGTCCTGTAATATCCATTGGAAATTTAGGTTTTCCATCATACCTAAAAATACCCCAATGACGTTCAAAACTTCCTGGTAAAATACTTTTTTCATTTTCATCTGTTAAACTAAATAAATAATATTCAATAAATCCAGGGTATAATGGTGTCCCTTTTTTTGTAGCCATTTTCTTAAAAAATCCACTATAAAATCTTTTGGCTAATGTAACATTTCCATATAAATCTCCATCTGTTGGCCAACCAATTTCACCAACAATTATTTTCACACCTGAACAACTAGCTTTTTTCAACGATACAACTAATGTATCCAAATTCGCATCGAACATATTAGTGTATGATATTCCATTGTCACGTACGGCCTTTGTTTGACCATCAAAAAATGCGAATTCTATTGGGAAATGTTTGTTTTCGTGGAGACTTAAGAAAGGATAAATATTTACGAGGAAAGGTGCGGTGTTGTCTTTAAAGAAACTACAAATTTTTTGCATTAGGTCCCTTATGTCCGATCGGAAATCTCCTTGTGATGGACCCGAATTACCGGATTCGTAAACGTCGGCGTTTTGTGGGATTGTAGCTTTGATTTTGTCACCAAGGCCAGCTGAATTTAGGGCTTTTTGTACATTTTGTAAAGCTGGAAATGTTGATTTCAAAAATGAACCATTGTATGATTTCAAAAATGGTTCATTTCCAACTGCCACAAACCTTCAAGAAAAAAAAAGAAATAATCAAAATTTGTGACGTAGCTAAATACATAAATATACCCTTTAACTTATCCAAAATAGTTATCGCTTTAGAAAATCATGAAAACATAATACATAAATATATTCTTTAACTTGACTTCAACTGCCCTCCAACTTTGAGTGTGCACAAATAGACACTTAAACTTATACAAAATTGAACCATTAGACACACATGTCTTACGTGGCATAATACACGTAGTACGCCACATAGAACACAAAATTGTCATGTAGGATATTACGTAAGCAGAATATGCCTATTTGTTCAATTTTATACAATTTTTTAAGTGTCTTCTTGTACACACCCAAAGTTAGAGGATATAATTGTCTGTTGTAAGTCAAGTTAAAGAGCACGTTTATATATTATACCAAATATTGGCATAATACATAAATATACCACTTAACATGATTTCAGCTGGCATCTATACCCTCTAATTTTGGATGTGCATATATAGACACTTAAACCTATACAAAATTAAATACACACACGTCCTACGTTTTTTCTCAAATCTAAGAATAAAGAGATAGGAAAATGCATGGTGGTACTTACTTGATATCAACACCTCCATTATACAAATGTGTACTAACATTATTTTTCACCCATTCCTTAGCAAAATCATAATCATCAGCAAATTTTGCCAATTGATTATTTGGTATTCCAAGCATGACTTCAATTCCAGTACCAGCAAAGTACTTAACAGTCCAATGATCAGAATCAAATAATTTAACTTTATCAATCTTGTTATCTTTAAGCATTTGAACAATTGTTGAAGGGGGCAATGTTTGTGCAGCTTGTGTACCCCAATTAACACCAAGACCATATGCAAAACTAGTCGATAGCGCTAAGCAACATGCCCATATCAACAACAACTTAATATGAGCCATTGCTAGTGCTAATCCACTAGCTACCTTCTATATACCTTGATTATATTCAATACGATAATATATGTTCTTAAAAAATATGGTGATTTTTTTAAGGAGAAATGTGAATGAATTAAGCATGAGACAATTTTATTTCAAAATATGAATGTATGAGCTAATGTTAAGGAGAGAAGAAAACGGACAAACACTAATTATTTGTTTTCTTTTTTCTTTGGTTTTCCTACAAGTTTTCAAATTATGGAAGGGAGGAGTTTATGCTGTTGTTTGTTATACTAATTTAACTTTTATGTGTGTTGACGATATATATAATTTGTTTTTATGTCATCAAGTCAAGGTAATGATATATATAATGATTATGTGATTTAAAAAAAAATTGTAATATAGTAAATTAAAGTAATAGTTTATTATAATTATATAGTTGGGTGAATCAAACTCTACCTTTAACTTTGAATAATAGACGACATTCTTCTCCCCTTATTCTAATTAACTTTCTGAATGTCTATTTTGTCCTTAAATTGTCAATTTTTATCAATTTGTTTTACTTATTTAAAATCCTAATATCATTTTTTTCAAAAAAATAAAATAATCTATGCAATACATGCCCTTTTAGGTTGCTCTTAGTTTGGGCAGCCTACAAGACCTTTACTTTGAGGAGGTCATATGGACAATATCCTTATAATAAATTTCGAAAAAATTAATAATCAGTCTCAAGTCTTGTTCTAATTTGTCACAATCAGTCTCAAACGAAGTGTCAGAAAGTATATATATGCTACTATATAACCTTTTAGTGACAAATGTTTAGTCTTTTCATGTTGAAATGACAATATGGCTTTTTGACCTATAAAAAAACTTCTTGGAGGAAGGGAGACATCGAAGAATTCCAAAAATAAAACAAAATACACTAGTCTTTCATCTTCTTCCCTTAGAATTTCTATGGAAAAAGTCTACTCCTTTGAGCAATATCTATTCTTGTAATCAATCATCGCCTTGGAGGTTTAGCTAAAAGAAAATGAACATGATCGACATTAACCTACTTTTTTTATTTTATAAATTGTATTATTAATTAAAATTAATGACCATATTTTGATAAATAATAACCTTCACCTCGTCCTAAATATTGACGTGGCAAAAGTATATACACTCCTTAGATGCGTGAAAGTAAAGAAAAACTAAATATCAGCTTTTAAATGAAATTTCAAAAGAACATACAATTCATAAAAGACACCAAAAACAATAAAGGCATAGGAGACCCATGCGCCTTACCCCATTCGCCTATAACAGTGTCATCCGACAAAAAGAGGAAGTTGCACTGACACAACGACCTTGTAAGACACATTATGCCGTGCGCTTTACACCACTCTCCTTTACATTCCAAATATTTTTAATTCTTCCCATAAATTAATTCCTCTTTTTCTTTTTATATATATTAACAAAACATAATTAAAATTATGGTTAAATTTTCTTATATTAACCATAAATTATATCATTATTTTTTTTAGTGAAAAAACAACACATGCATTTGTTTTAGTACCCACCTGTTTAAACAGTTGTACTTTGCTCAGCTGTGACACGTACAATATAAGATAGCAATGGCTTTTCAAGAACCAGAAGCAAACAAGAGAGGCTCCAACTCCAACTTCCCAAGAACTGGTAATTTTCCCCCAACCCCACTAATATTTTTGAGTAGCTTTTGAAGTTCTCATTTTTATTTGCAAATGATATCATAAAAGGTCTCAAATTTCTGTCGTTTTTTTGGTATTGGGTGAAGAAAAGAGAATTTTAAGGTTCAAAATGGGGCCTTTTGCATTAGCTTTAGATACAAAGAATTCTTTTGCAGCCTCCTCTTCTGCTACAGGTAATTTACAAGTGAACATTGTAAGTTTTGCTATCGTTTTACTTTTTCTGATTTTTCACCATTTTCTTTGGGTTGTTGTATAAGGAAGTAATGATTTGAGTGTACTGTTATGGAAGAGCCTAATTGTTTGGAGTTTGGACTAATATAAAGGGAAGATTTTTGGGCTTAATTTGTCTTAAACTGACATTTTACAGTGTAGAAATGCTAATTTAGGTGTTTTTTTTGGTGGGTGGATGGGTTGGAGGGATAACAACAACATACCCAGTGGAATACCACAAGTGGGGTTCGGGGAGGGTAGAGTGTATGCATACCTTACCACTACTTCTTGAAGGTAGAGAGGCTGTTTCTGAAAGACCGTGGGAGGGATAATGAATTCCAATTAATTGTTGGGTTAATGTATGATATATTTGGTTTAAGTTTTGATTGAAACTAAAGGTAGGTGCAGCTATAATCATATCCGGAAATTGCAAGGGTAGCTGATATTAGTGATTCTGCTTGTGCATGAATATATGGGAGTGTAGGGTTCCACTGGTCCCCTTTGTGGCTAAGAATGATGAATAAAGTAATTATAATTTTTAAGGGGATTCTAGTTGTTGAACATTGGGATTTCAAGATCCAAATTAGGTCACTAAACCAACTCAATTACTGGATTTAGTATTTATTGGAGTCAGTGTTTTTCGTACTAATATTTCTTGATATTTTAATTTGACAGTCTTGTCGTAATGTTGTTAAATTAAGTGCATGTACTTTAAATTACATATCTGATTGCTAATATGTACTGCTACTTGTTGGTTTTGAACAGACGACACTTACTAGTGATAGTAGTGAAATATTTCTGTTAGTTACATTAAGGAAAGCTTTTTCCTTCAGAAAATACAATTAATCAAGCAAAACTGTTTAGTGTAATGATAGGTCTAGCTTAATGGCTCAATCATTTATGCTCAATAGATTGAATGGTGCTCCTTTTAGAAAGACAAAAGTTTCTTTATATCAATTCTGAATACACTCAACTTTAATTGTTTAATGAGATTAACTAACTAACTACTCTTGAGCTGATGTCTTGAATACTAATGGTCACAAAGCAAGCATGAAATAGAGAGGTAGCAGTGATGGTTTCATTTGTCACCATTTCCATTATTAAAATGTTCTTGTCTCTTTGGCAAATTATACTTAAGAATAAGCTCTAGGTTTCTCGATGAAGGATTAAAGAATAACCATGCATTGCCCCATATTAGGATGTAGATTCATATTGATTCTTCGTCTTGTAGTTTCCGGTTCTTTCTTGAGGATGTGGTTTGATTTTGCAGATGCATCTGGCAGAAAAATGGATAACCTTCAGATGGTACCAAAAAAGTTCTTTGCATCAATCAACAATGAAGAAGAGAAACCATTTGATTTTCTACGGATACTATTTGGTATGTCTGCTGAAATAATAGTAATTAAATGATGATATTGGAGCATTCTTGTCAAGTCGTCATATATCCTGAAGTTGTCGCTCTCTTTATTTTTCGGCTTGCCCACAACCAACCTCCACCTCTAACAAAACACATCCTCCCAAAAAGAGGGAAAAGAAGGAATTAGGAAAGACAAATAAGAAGATCATTTCTTTCTCTCTACACTCTGCAGTTGACAGATAGGAACTCTCTACATCAATCTGGTTTCCCAACTTCCCCTTTCATTTGTTATTTTGATTTCATTTACAAAAGTACTTCAACATTTGTAGGTAGGAATTGAACAGCCACACCACACAGATATTTGAATAGTATAGTCTTTTGTCAAAAAGTCATTTTGACTACTTTTTTGTTATAGAGCTGGTATACCGGGGATTCTTCCAACATTAATAAAATCATTTACCTTATTTTAGAAAATGTTATTGAGTCACTAGTATAAAATGTTCTTGAGTGTCAGCTGAGAATTCAAGTGATAAGCCTGTCAAATGGTAGAATGGTTTTTTCTCTGGAGCAACTTCGTGCTTAAAAGCTTATGATGGCATCATAATTTCTTTTTGACAAGGTTCATTAGTAGTAAAGGCTCAGTACTAAGCTAGTAGTGGGACAGAGTACATCATACAAAGCTGGATAGGTATATGATGCATCATGCTCACTTAGTTCAGGTGGCAAAGGTTGAGGGACTTGACTTAGGTCACAGGTTCAATCCCTTGCCATGCAAACTAAGGTTGGTATTTTAGTGGAGAAGGGTAGAGGGGAAGGCCTATTATCCCCTAGTTTTGAAGAGTGTGGTTGCTCCTAAGGATTAGATTTCTCGGTCATAGAAAGAAGGTGGTATATGATGCATCATCTTTATCTAAAAAAAGAAGTATATGATGCATCATAATTATTTCATACTAGTTGGGCTACAGATATTAATAACATAGAGTTCCCCAACTGCTAAAAGAAAATATTTCAGTTATCAAAACTATCATAGGACAAGAATCTTTTGTTTCGAGGTTTGGCTTTTCTAATTGTGGTTAATTTGTGCAGAGGGTGTGATAGCAGGAGGGACCGCCGGTGTTGTTGTTGAAACAGCTTTATATCCCATTGATACAATAAAGACACGGCTGCAGGCAAGTTAATTGTTTATAACCGAAGTCTATATCAATTATATGAGTGATTCTACCATGTTGAATTGGTATCTTTAGTAGCTTCACAATTCACAATAGGCTCTTTAAGGATTCTTGAGGCTATTAGCTCCTTATGTTGACAGACTGGAACAAAGAGATGAGGAAAGGGTAGATAGATAATTTAGATAGAGTAGAACTTTTGAAGTATTCATAACTACATTTTATTGCGTAGTCCAGTTGACATTCCATTTGCATACAGCTGAGTAGTTATATTCAGGTTTACTGCCATTAAAATAGTTGAATGCAGAGCGCCAGGCCTCTTTTCATTTTAATTACATTATTTTCAGTCTGTTGTTTCCCCCTGAATATTCGAATCATCAGTGCATTGCTTCCCTGTGCAGGTAGCTCGTGGTGGAGGACAAATAGCCTTGAAAGGGTTGTATTCTGGGCTTCTTGGAAATCTTGCTGGAGTCCTACCGTAAGTTGTAGTAACAAAGTACTATTTAATAGTATAGAACTATGTATAACAGTCTCCATGACACCTGCACTTTTGTCAACCGATGCAATTGAAATTCTCTTTTGCAACCATAACTAGCTTTCATT